CCCGGCCCCCAAGCTCCCCGGTTGCCGCCGTGGCCCCGCTGTAGCGTAGGGTAGTGCCACCCGCCAGCACCACGTCGGTTGGGGAGGGCACCAGGACGTAGCCGCCATTGAGCAGGGAGCCGCCGGCTGGCCGCCGCAGTGCCAGGAAGATGTCCTCACCGCCCGCCGCTGAGATCTGCCGGACCAGGAGGTGCGTGGCGCCCGCCGGGATGATCACCACGTCGTTGTAGCCGTAGCTGCGGGGCACAGTGGGGTTGGAGGGGGGGACGATGGCAGCCTGCAGGCGGCATCCCCCTCGCCCCACTGCCACCGTTGGGGTGCTTACCGGGGTTTGGTGAAGGAGCCGTAGACCTTGGTGCAGCCGGAGCCATCACCGCCACACGTCATGCACTTGTCAAACTTCTTCTTGGAGCCGATGATGCGATCACAGCCGGCAGGGATGCAGCGGCCCTGCACGCATACCCCTGTGCTCTCAGGGGAGCAGGGCGTCCCGTCGGCCACCTGTGACACGGCATGGCCTCAGCACCCGCCAGCGGCACCCCGGGGCGCGCGGCGGGCAGGGGGACACTCACCCTCGGCTGCAGCACGTGGTAGTAGCCCAGGGTTTGGGACTGGCAGGTCAGCTTGCACTGGTCCCGCTCGGGGACGCCGCTGTAGCGTGGCACCCAGTCTGGGGGGGCTGGGAGCCCCTTGACGAGGCCGGGGCGATGGTTGTAGGCAGCGCATTGCTCCTCCCGGAAGGTGAGGGCTGCCGGCGGTGGTGAGGCATGGTCAGCACCAGCGGCAGCTCCCAGCCCCGCTGCAACCTGCACCAGGGACCGGTGCCATCCCTGCTCCCCACCCCGGGCTGGCCCCACTCACGGGTGCTGCCGGGACACTCCTCCACGTTGCAGGACTGGAAGCAGGTGCGCTTGCCCTCGCAGTACCGGCCACCGTGGCGAGGTGCCGGCGCGCTGCAGTTGCGGTGGGAGAGCTGGACCCCGCCGCCGCAGGTCCGTGAGCACCTGCCCCATGGCCCCCACGGCCCCCAGCCACCATCCACGGGCGTCTGCGGCCAGAAAACACAATGGGGGGGTGTCAAACTGGTTCTGGCAGGCGAGTGCCCACCCTGCTGCCCCCTGCACTGCCCCGCCGGGACTCACGGTGAGCTCCTGCATGCGGCCGATGCTGACGCAGAGCCCGTCCATGCAGGCTCTGCCCGGCGCGCATGGCGTGCCGTCAGCCCAGGGGAAGTGCTTCGTCTGGCAGACAGAGCGGCCACCGACGTGGCCGGTGCACCACAGCGAGGCGGGCGGCTGCAGGTCGCCGCAGTGCCGCGAGTCGGGCCCGAAGGCAAGCTGGCATTGCCGCAGCACTGGGTAGACCGTGCCCGGCAGTGCCGAGGGCAGCTGCAGCCACTCCGGAGGCTTGTCCAGGAGGCAGTGACCTGCGGGGAGGTGACACCGCTGCATGGGGGGTTTCCCAGGGGCGCCAGGACCCCCTGTGCCGGGACCCCCCACGCAGGGTCGTACCATGGCCGTTGTCCAAGAAGTCGGTGATGAAGCGGGCGCTGCATGGGGACCACATCTCACCAGGCTCCAGCGAGGAGAGGACCGGAGCCATCACGTGGCGGGCAGCTCCAGAGTGGCCGTTCAGCTCCCGGCAGGGCTGGGAGGTGTCGTGCAGCATGTTGAAGACGTGGCCTGTGCCGGGGGACAGTGGCATCAGCCCCAGGGGGGCTCCTGGGTGGCAGCGGGTCCACCCCTCCTCCCTGCTGGCCCCCACTGCTCACCCAGCTCGTGGGTAGCCGTGAACGCCGACTGCAGCCCGTCGTCCTCCACGATGGCGCAGCTCCGCTCGGGGTCGCAGACGGTGCCCACGTCAGCCATGCCCAGCGTGTCGCAGGTGGCTGCCCCGCACAGGTCCTGGGGGTAGGTGGGGCGTGGGGCGGGCTCAG